GCTACCTCCCACACTAAGAATCTTAGAAGGATTGCACAAACAATCCCCAAATGTTAGTACAAATCAAGCTTTATATTTACTATGAAAGAGTTAAAAAATGGGTCAAATTGGTGGGAATTTCAAGAGGTTATCACTCGTCTTGCCTGTCAGTCTTAATAGGAATGAGGTGTGATCCGAATTAAACCGTGGTAGACGGTTACCTTTAAGAACGTTCTCCACCATTCTATATTAACAATGGCTTGATCAATCCTACTAAAACTTTCTTTGTTGTGCCATGTGAACTTGGGGCCGTAAAAACACAAGTTAGTCAACCCCATGTCCACTACACAACTCCTGAAGAATTTTTCAGCTCCTCCTCCTCCTATGCCTTTCAAAAGGTGCTCAAAGTCTCTTAAGGTTATATTAAAATCTCCAACCATGCACTAAGGCTTCCTACGCACTCCACCAATACTTCGTAGTTCCTCCCAAAGTTAACGATGCTCTACTGACCAAAAATTGCCATACACTACCATCAACCAATATTTGTTCGCGTTTCCCTCATTCACAACCCCATGCAGCAATTGCTCATTCTTTTGTTTTACTCTAAAGTCCAACTCATCACCTCAGAAGCACAAGATGCTATCCTTAAACCAGCTTGCCACTTTAATCTCCCAATTTTTGAACTTAAGACATTGAGCAATTATCTGCGCTCTGTCTTTTTGTTCATAAGGCTTTAAAAAAGCCAGAAATCTAAACCAACCTTGAGTTTTAAGTTGTTTAGGAGCTTGAGAAGTGTTCAACGCCCAGGCCTTCTACAGTTCCATATCAAACAATCCATGAAGTAAATCAATTAGAGGAGAAAAATCCTGCCCAGTATCAGTACAACATCTCTTTTAGGGAAGAAGGGCTTACAACGTGTCCAACATTGTCACTATGGTCCTTCAATAAAGGGTAATGTCGAATCAAGAGGCCCTGTGAACTTTGCTCTTAGGGTTGATTGGAATGGTGAGCTCCAAACCACTTGCTCTTAATCCACGTGGATTACTGGTTTAAACACCCTATGTATGGTCAACTTCTGAGTACTGGACCTGGTCATCCTTACTGCCTATTACTAGGCCGTGGCCTTCCCTTATGTCCTTTAGAGAGTCCCAACTCTGATTTCTTCTTCAAATAGATTTCCATTGGGTTGGGCCTCCTCTTTTTGCTCCTTGCCACATTCGGCTCCTTAGTTACCACAACAAGCCCAACTTGTCTTCTACTCGCTTTCTTTTCCTGACGTGTATTAGAAATATCAAAAAGTGGACCCTTGAGCTGTTACCGACTCCTATTTATGTCCATAACTTCTTCTTTTAAACCATGCAACAACATAAAACGAGATTTGCTGGTCAAGAAAAACATAAAACGAGATTTTGATATTCTAGTCCCTGAGACCCGCTAAGTATCTCTCCAGATTTTCTTCCCCTGAATCATGCTGTCTTGCTTTCTGTACTCTTCCCCTATATACCACCATCCACTATCAAAACACCATCCTTCCTGGCCGAAGCAAATTTTCAATGACTATGCCTTTAATGCTATCAAGCATCCCTATATTCTGATCAATCTCATTCCTTCTGTGACTTGCTCCGTGTTCCCTTCTGACTTCTTTTTGTTTGTGTTTTCTCCTACCACCAGTGAAGCTTATTTATATAGGCAGCAGTAGGGGTGAGCATTCAATTTTTCAGTTCAATTTTTGGTGATAATCAAATTAACTGAATAGAGCAAATTTTAAACACCGAATCAAAACCAATTAACCAAACTAATTGAAACTGAATTAACTGAAATATTTCAGTTCGATTAACCGATTAGCCAAACTATATAAATGTGAAAAGTAATTTTAAATTAAAAAATAATGAAACACAATTACAACTATTAATTAATAAATATTCCATCAGTCAATGTGATTTATTGTAATAATATTTATTATAACCATATTTATTGAATATAAATATATTTAAAGAGCTCACATATACCTACACATATATATTTATTATAATAATATTTATTAAATATAAATATATAATATAGGCTAAAGTATATATTTGGTCTTTTAACTTTGTACAAGGTTTTAATTTGGTCCCTTAACTTTAAAAAGCATACATTTGGTCCTTTAACCCTAAAATCATTACGCTTTAATGATAATTCTTGGTACCAATCATAGATGTTTTGAAAATTAAACTTAATATATTAGTATTTGAGAATATTTTATCAACATTTAAGATCTTAATGTCATCGTTTTTTAAAAAAATTTTAGAGTTAAAGGACTAAAAGTATACTTTTTAAAGTTAAAGGATCAAATTGAAACCTTGTACAAAGTTAAAGGATCAAATTTATACTTTAGCCTATAATATATTTCTTTCAGTTTTTCAGTTTTAACCAAATTTTTTCCACTAATTGAACTATGTCCGAAGCCAAAATTGTCAAAAAATAAAAGCTGAATATGTAATCGAAAACCGAAATAACCGAACTGAAAAACTGAAATTGAATTCAGTTCAGTTTTTAGTTACAGTTTGGTTTTGCTCACCCCTAGGCAGTAGTCCTTGTCATGTTCATATCAACCACATGTGAAGTAAATCAAGTAAATGGCTTCATACTCTATCTTCTTCTCAATTCTATTCACTAAAATGAGAGGAAGTAGTGGTTTGGTAAGATCTAGTTCAACACAAATCCTACTAAAATGTCCCTTGCTGCACTTCAAGGTCATCATGTCCACCTTTAGTACCTAACCTACTTGACTTCAGAGCACATATAAGATTCCTTTATCATAATAATCCGTAGGCAACTGAGAGATTTATACCCACGCAACCACTCTATTGATCTTTTACGTACCCATCGGAGTCCAAGTTCTCTTTCCAAGGTTGAATAGCTAGATAATGATCCATTATTAGCCATGGACCTCCTATGAGGGCTAAGTCATATTCAGTCTATTTACGAAACCTATTACTAGGAAGAATCCCACTCGCACATCTAATAGCTCAAATTGATCACCATGAAGGCCTTGCATTTACTGTAGTTTAGCCTAACCATGTGTCCAGGCAGTTTAACAACTAGAGCTCTTTCGCATTTCTTATTTAGCCCCTTCTTCTCTTTCGGTGGGATGATCATGTTCAAACCCGTCACTATCTGTACAACCTTTATCTTTTCCTTTCACCTCTCTCCACTCCACCAATCCTCCTCTTCTTTTCCCTCCTTATCACTACCTTTCTTTGAATGGTTCTCCTGAACAAAAGGCATCTTTCTATGACCTCCTTTCCTTTGTATCCACCTTCTCTCTAAGCTCCAATCCCTGGTCATCCTTCTCCTCCTATTTCCCTTCCTCGCTATCCTCCATCTAGTCTTCCATCCTAGACGGTAGTAATTGATCCCCTAAGAACTGCCCCTATCTTACGAAACTCTTTCCTACTTCAGTCAAACATGTTGGACTCCTCCGCCATGATTAGCCGTTAGCTTTCTCTCCCTGAAATCTCTCTTAACGCCATTACTCATGTTTTCTTCTTTACTAGTTAAAATTTTACCCAAGTCTAGGGATGAATACCAAAAACATAAAAATATTTCAATTTATGCATATGTATATATATTTTAGAGTATTAAAAGAAATTTTAAGCCTCTAATTTTATGGGGTTTTAAAGTTTTGGCTTAATATCTAGATCTTATGACCTTGCTAAGGTTGCCAAAGCATTAAGAACTCATTTTACTCAGAAGAAATATTTTCAATTTGGCTGACAATCCACCATTTGATTCACTTTCATAGAATTCTCATAGTCATGTCACTAAAAAAATGACTTTCCATAGCAATAAAAGGTTATTGTTGAAAGTCCTAAAAAGACCATAGAGTCATCATTGTTACAAGCATCACTAATAATTTTCAATAGAAATACATATAATATCGCCAAAAATACATATTTAATGATGACATTACCACCGTCAACTTTCAACATGGATGCATATGTTTCGTTGAAAGTATTATTGCCACTCTGCCAACATTTAAATTAGTGACAACAATTAGGGTTGTTTGAGACTTCTGTTGCCACCATAACTAGTTTTTGGGATGATTACTGTTGCCGCTAAAAGTTATTTTTCCCCCTCAATGATTTTTGTCATGTATGGACTTATTTTTTTTGAATTTTTCCTATTAGTATATTAAATTCATAATTCAATAGTTAACATATTACTAAGCTATTTAGGAACTCATAACAATAAATAAAATGATGTAAAGTATTTCACTTCAATTATAATACTCCAACAACAACAAAATAGTATAATAATTACAATACAAGTGCTATAAAAATCACAATAAAAGTTTTGAAATGTCAAATTTAATAAAATCAATTCAGCAAATGTTAAAATCTCCCGTGTTGTTAAACTATTTAGACCAATTAAAAGAAAGCAAGCATTATAATATCATGTTGAATTCATTATTATTTGATAAAAGTGACAAAAAGATACGAGGATATTTTAAATTAGCAATTAAGTTTGCACATTTTGTAAGAATGAAATTATGAAATTTATAATTACATAGTACTTTTTAGTGATGTAACTTACAAAATACTCTAAAATGGCAAAGAGTTGCATGATAATCTTCACAACTCACATTTTATATTATGTTTTGTGAAAAATTAATTAAATGTAAAATTTATTGTATGACCGAGTTAACAATTAGCTCATGTGATCTAAAATAAACTATGTGAAAGACTTGGCTAAACTATCTTCCCAATTTAAGACAAAGGGTTATCAATGATAGAACATTTGATTCATTTGCTTTCATAACATTTTTCGTTTGTATGTTTTTCTTTTCATGAAGATCATATTGTAATGCAACTTAATTTGCAATTTTTCAACACTTTTAATTTGTATTTTTAAAGATCTAAAGTCACTGGAGCATCATCTTTCTGGTTTAATTATTAGGGGTTTACTGATTTGTTGATTGAAATCCCAACTAGTATAATTGTCACAGATGGACTAAAATTAGCTTCTATCCATGTTAGATGGAAAGCCGCTTGCTTGACCTTGCAAAGAATGAAGTCCAAAGTTTGGTGAATCTTGTAAAAAATGAAGCTCAATATTTATGTTGTTTCAATAGTCATGTTGAAAATTTTGATCGAAGAAAGGAAATACTAGTTGCAAAGCACCAGGATGTGAAGAGAAAGTTTCAAAAAGGGAAAGGTGTTTTTAGTTTTAAGTATGAAGCACGGCAATGGGAACATGAAGCAGATGGCATCATCAATATAGACACTAAAATAAAGAAGAAATTCTTTTTTGGTTGGTGTCCTAATTGCTGGTGGCAATATCAAAGAGGTAAGGAGTTAGCAGAGGAGACTCAACATATTGAAGAATTATTGGGAAGATGTAATTTTGATATAGTTGCTGGTCGAGCAAATGTATCAAACATAAAACACCTTTCTTCACAAGATTTCATTCATTTCAAGAGTAGAGAGTCAGATTTCCAAGATCTAATAGAGGCATTACATGATGAGAATTGTACTATGGTTGGATTGCAAGGGATGGGGGGAGTAGGCAAAACTTCAATGGCAAAAGAAGCGGGTCATAAACTAGAAGAATTTAAATTGATTGACAAAATCATCTTTCTCGTTATCTCCAAGCCTCCTGATTTCAAAAAGATTCGTGTTGAACTTGCAAAAAGTTTGGATTTAAATTTGGAGGAAGTGAAGGAAGAAGAACTCTCAAGTGCAATATGGCCCAGAATCACTAGTATGAACAAAAAGTTGCTTATAATACTAGATGATGTATGGGAAAAATTTGATTTGTTAGAAAACTTGGGGATTCCACCAGGCCACCAACACGAGGATTGCAATTTATTAATAACCACACGTAATTCACATGTTTGCAGAGAAATGGGATGCCAAAGGATTATTAAACTACATACGTTATCTGAGAAAGAGGCAATGCATCTTTTCCAAGCACATGCTAGTTTAAATAATTCCTCTCGTGGTTTGAAGGGTATGCCCCAAAAAATTGTGAAGCATTATGGAGGAGTACCGATTGCAATTGTAGCAATAGCAAGAGCATTAAAAAATCAGCCTTTATCAATTTGGAAAGATGCCTTGAAAACCTTGGAAGATCGCCATGCTGATCAAAGTTTGGAAGAGGCTTATAAATGCTTGAAGCTAAGCTATGATAACTTGAGAAATCAAAACGCCAAAGAGCTCCTTTTGATATCTTCTTTGTTCCCAGAAGATTTTGAAATTCCAATACATCTTTTAACCAAAATTGGTATAGGATTGAGCTCTTTTAATGAACATGGCAAATACCACTTAACAAGAAGTGATGTGGATGCAGCTATAATTGAACTCATAGATTCTTCTTTGTTGTTGGATGGTAGGAAAGAATGTGTAAAGATGCACGATTTAGTTCGTGAAGTGTCCTTGAGGACAGGAGACAAATATATTCAATCTCTTATATATTTGAAAATGCCTATAAAAGAGAATTTGAGATATTTATTTTGGAAGAATGATGATTTTCTTGATGAATTTGATGGACATAAATTGGAGGTTCTATTAATATATCTAGATGGTTCAAAAGAGTTGAATGTCTCTAATATATTCTTTAAAGAGGTGATGAGTCTCAAAGTTTTGGTTTTAGTTAGTAATTATTATCGCAAAAGAGTCCCAACTCTATCATTGATGAATTCACTTCAGCCATTGAAGGATATTCGTACACTCATTCTTGTAAAGTTGGATTTAGGTGACATCTCTATTGTAGGAAACTTGTTGAGTCTTGAGACTCTTCATTTTTCTTATTGTTCAATCATTGAATTACCAAGAGGATATTTGAAACTAAAGAATTTGAGATCATTAGAAGTTGAAGAATGTGAAATTGAGAAGAATAATCCTTTTGAAGTGATTGAAAGATGTTCACAACTAGAAGAGTTAACTTTTGTTGGTAATGAATGTGATGATAAAGAAAAATATGCAATTTCTCAGAATGGATCTCCTCTTACATTACACAGATATTGTATATCTTCTAATAAATTTTCATATTATTTTGAAAAGCATCATTCCATGTCAAGATGTTTTCAAATAGATGAATTAAATCATTTACTCTCAGAGGCAACATTTAAGCAACTTGTCAGAAGAGCTGAACTTCTTATCTTGGAAAGAGAGGATGACGAAAGAATAAGGAAGAGTCTTATCCCTGATATTATTGCAGTAGATGAGGGAGAAATATTGAATGATTTGATTGTTCTTCATTTAAGCTCATGTCCTCACATGGAGTGCCTCATAGATACTAAAGATAATCATTCTGGGGTGACTGCTTTCTGTAACTTGGCTGAACTACATCTCTCTAAAATGGGTGTTGAAGATTTATGTCGGGGTTTTACACCCTCTAGCTTTTTGGAGCAATTGGAGATTATGAAGTTGAAGAAGTGTCATAGACTGAAGAGGATATTATCTGATAGCAACTACAACTTATGTCATCTTAAGTCCATGGAATTGGAAGATTGTCCAATGTTGACATCAATTTTTCAACTATCCACTGCTCGAAGTCTGATACAATTAGAAGAATTAACAATTAGAAGATGTAGTGCACTGGAATACATCATAGTAGGAGAAGATAGTGGCTGTAATCAAAGGAGTTATCATGACTCATTTTTCCCAAAATTGAAAATAATTCAAATTGCAGGGTGCAACGAATTAAGAATAATATTGCCAATCCTTCCCGGTGGATGGCCTCTGGAAAGAATAAACATACGATGGTGCAGGAAGTTGAAATATTTATTTGATGAGTTCCAAGAGGTCGATGTTATGCTCCCCTTTCTGGAAAAAATGGAACTTTTTAGACTACCAAGTCTGGTTGGTGTTTTTAGGGAGTATGACAAATCCATCTCTTCATCAATGCAAGAGCCAACATCCATACCTCTAAGCACCAAGGCATGTTCTTTTTCTTGGGTTCAAGTATGTTGTTTTAAATCGAAGGCCGCAAGTGAAGAGGCTGATGGTTCTGTTTCTACAGGGCAATTGCTTGACAAACGAATCCCACAGGTATGCTCAGCTCGCCTCACTATTTTTGTTCAGATTTCTCTTACATATATTTGCCATTAAAGTGATGATTGATCAGTATCAATATAACATTACATGTATGGGATCAACATTGTTCTACTGATTGATTGAATGACAACATTCGTTTGTTATTTTCCTAGTTTATATATATATGAGCATTACAATTGCATAAATAACAATTTCTTTTTGAAGGGATTATTTGCATCAGAGAAATGGATTGATACTCCTCCTACCCTTGGGAGACAATTAGCACTCCATTTTCATCATATAAGGAAAATGGAACTTGCATATCTCTCTTCAAATTCAGTGTCAACATTGTTCACTTTATCCACAGCATCAAAGATATCATGGGAAGAATTGACAATCACGGGTTATGATGGATTGAAGCTCTTGGTGACAAGCAACAAAGATGATTATAAAGATCAAATCAATTGCAACTCTATTTTCCCAAAGTTACAGAAACTTAAAATCTCATGGTGCAAGGACTTGGAATTTTTATTTCTATCTACAATATCTATAGAAATTAAGAATTTAAAGTCCTTGACTATTGAATATGCTCCTCAACTAACATATGTCATTGGGAAACAGCATAGTATATCCAATCAAAATCAAAATGATGAGTTGCACTTTGATCTCCCTGCTTTGGAGGCCCTCTATTTTGAAGACGTACCAAAGTTCACCAACATTGGCCTCATGAATTGTAAAATTGTGTCACCATCTCTACATAATATTTGTTCAAACAAAAGACAACTGAATTCGAATACATCAAAGGTAATACTCTCTTTTTGTCTTGATGTTGTTTGTTCTCTATTGATATACATACTTATTCAAGAGTGAAATACAAAGAAAAAACACAGAGATCTGAAAAAAAAACTTTATAAACATTAATTTTTGTTAATGATCATAAATTTTAAAAATTTGGAAAAAATACTAAAGTTTTAGGTTGGAATTCAAATTTTTCTATATTGGTTCTTTGCTATATTTAGGAGTGTTTATGGGATGGGATGGAACAAGAACAATCCCGTCCTAATATTTGGGATGGGATAAGGACATCCCATCTATTTTTTAAAATTTTTTGATATAAAGTTATATATTATTATTATAAAAATGAAAAGTAAAATAAATTTATAGAATTAAAAAAGATAATATATTGGGATGGAACACCCCTATCCCAAGTCTTGTACACTGTTGTCCTGTCCTAAAATTTTTAGGACTCCGCTAGCCCAAAATCACTGTTATGAGACGAGACAACTAGCAGTGAAAGGAGAAAGAGGTGGAGCTTTATCCACATCCACAAGTTAGCTTGAGAGTGAACTTGGCTTTCTTAAGGAGTAGACACCATATCAAATTAAATATTACAATGAGACGTCTGGTAAATTTATTTTTGGGAATAAGGTCAACTATCAAAATACTCAACTTCTTGGATTTAAATATATTGTAAGATGAAGACATATAATTAAGTTTTAATTTGATTATAGTATGAGTAAAATAACTAGCACACTTTTTTAAAATGGAAATTAAGCTAAATTTTATCTCAAATTATTCTTGCTAGTATATTGTATATTACTTTAACTGAAACCTCTTATGTATTATTGCATGATGAGACTTTAATGATTTATTGGCTTGTAGGAATTACATGCATTTGTAAGCATTGATCCCCAGAACTACTCTTTGAGAGGGTTATCTCCAAGGTCCATCGTCTTGAAAAGTTTTTTAGAGTTTACAAGACCTTTTAAAGAATTTCTGCTTTGTTGGCACATGAAACAGCAACAGGATAAAAAGGTATGATTATGTTCAACTTCTCTTACCAATTCTAACATATTCCCCCAATGGATTAAGTTATATTTTAATAATATTTCTCACTACTTTGTGCATATGCTCTCTTAAAGAAGCATAAAATAATAATATTACCTGACTAATTCTATATTTTTTCAAACTATAAGGGAGGGCTTTTGTTATTTTCATACATACATGTTTCAAGAGAACATTTACATTTAAAATTCAGATGTATTTGTTACCTCTTAAATTTTATTTGAGTTTCATTTGCCTAAATTCTACCATGATTTTGCTCAAATCAGACTACATTAAAATTTTTTTTTGAAATAAATTTAGAATTAATATATCTTTCATGGAATTCACAGGCAATTGAGATGTCCGATTCAAAAACTCTTTTAATTGCGGACTCCAAAATAACAGAGATTGTTGATTTGACCCATGTTGGAGTTGGATCATTGACATCTAGCTTACAAAAGTTGAAGTTGGAATATCTAAGGGAGATGGTGAATATATGTGTGGGGCCTAAACATGTCATGTGCTTCTATAGTCTCCAGAAGCTATTCATTGAACGTTGCTTTAAGCTCAAATTTATCTTCTCCGCATCTATAGTGCGAAGCCTACCAATGTTGACAGAGCTAAAAATCTCACGGTGTGAAGAATTAGTTAACATTGTTGAAGAAGATTATGAAACAAACAATGATGATCATTTTTACCATGAACCATGCTTTCCCAACTTAGAACAAGTCTCTGCCACTGATTGTGACAAATTGCAGTACCTGTTATCTATCACTGTTTCTGGTATCCTTCCAAAACTAAGATCTTTGGAGATAAGTAGAGCCAATGCACTTGAGCATGTGCTAGTAAGACAAGGTGAGATGAAAGAGATGGTCATGAAGGATGTGCTTCCGCTATTAAGTCAATTGGAGCTCATAGATCTTCCCAACCTTGTTGGTCTCTGCCATGGGATCGATTTTCAAATTTTGAAAAGAGATGATAACATAAAAGTGGATGGTTGTTCCAAGTTTTCTTTTTATGGTATGCATTAAGAGAAATAATTTGTTCTTTAGAAATGAAAATTAATATGATTTTTATTATAATATTAAAAATTCTATTTTCAGAAACTTCAACTACCCAGCTTCAAGCAAGTCTTAAAACTGCAGATTGTCATACTGAAGAAAAAGTAGGAGACAAGCTTTCTTCGCATCAATCTTTAAACAGGGGAGAAGCAACGCGACATTCGCTCATGGAGGTAAGATTTGATTGCTAATGGCATCATTTTACTTCTCCATCGGTCCCCATCATGATCATATGTGCCCTTGATTTTGTGGCAATGCTCTGGAAATTCTATCCTTTGAGAAAAACAGAGTTTAAAGATCATATTTAGAATGCCAATAAAGAATTTGACATAAACTAAAAAAAAAAAAGAAAAAAAACTTGTAGTTTTGGACAGGTTATTGAAGAAACGATATATTCCACTGTGATAAACATGTTGTTTTAATAAAAAATACCAAAAGAGACATCATCATCATGTGATTGGTTTCTTTTCCGTTACGTCATTTGATTTTTATTTTATAAGGTGATAACCTTCAAGAATTTATTTTAATTTTATTAAGGAGTGGGTAGGAAATTTGAAACGAAAAATAGTAAATAAAAATATTTCTCTTGACAAAGGAAATAAACAGAGTTACAGTCAAACCTTACTCTACTAAGCTTACTATCATATTTAAATTTAACTAAAGCTTAACTTCCTCTTACTAAAAATTATGCTATCCAAAACTATCCAAAACAGGCCTAAGAGAAAAACTTAAAAGATTTAATCCTCATATTGCTAATCACTTTAAAAGAGCCACCAAACACATGCTAGGGGCCTTTAGACATGCCTTTGGTGTTGTTTGGGAATTCAAAACACTTCCTTGTTATGACATATTAAAACAGTAGCATTTAAACCTCTCTGAGTCACAAAAATTCAATAACATCTAAATGGTGCTGTCCAAACAGGGGATAAGGATCAAAGTTCACAAACTAATGCTTTGATATTCCAATTGCCCATCTAATCACTATATGGGAAACATAAGACCCTTTACACGTGTAGTTCATCCATTTTTTGAAGTTTTGGACAGCCTTCCTTTACATTTTAAAATTTTCCAGATTCATAAACTCCTCTTTTATATACATTGAGGGGTTTAGAATTTAGATTTATCGATACTTAATTCTCTCTATTTCAGTTCATCCATATTTCACCTTGAAGCCCTTAGGTGTTTACTATATTTTAGTTATCACTTAAATATAAATTTAGTACATAATTAAACATTACAGAAGCAAGAAAAAGTCAGCTTCTCAATTCCAGATTTCAAAAATCCACTTCTCCTCAAACAAATCAACATGCATGGAATAGATATGATTTTTTATAACTTAATGCATGAATCCCTCAACTTCTCTCTAAAAACAAAATTTAAACCTCTGATCTACTTGCAGAACAGACAGCCACTGGAAAAAATATTGATGGAATAAGATTTAAAGTCCTTACATTGGTCTAAGTGTTCGGCCGCATGTGAGGGTGCTGCTGAGTGGTTTAAGAAGATGCAAGATTGGGCCAAGTATTGGCCCAATTTCCTTTTTAGACATGGGGTAGTGAAATTATTGTTGGATACTTTATAAATTTGTTTTTCTCAGCTAGCTTCTCTAATTTTCCTAAAATTTTTGGGTTAAAAATTAGAGCTAATTCGAAAAAAAGGCATCACCAAAATTGAGATTAATTGTCTTTTATTTAGAGATTTTTTTTATTTATGTCTCTAGTACACAATAATTTTCTGTCTTTGTTTTAAAGTCGTCATATGAACCCAATGATTTTTTAAAAAAAAGAACCAATTGCTAGAAGAAAAACATATAATTTGAAGGCGATATTTAAAATGCCAACAATCAACTCTCACGCGTGTGTGTGTGTGTGTAATCCATTGAGTTTGGCATGAACTAAGCAAAGTTTTATCTTGTGATGGCTATGCAGAAGCAATATTGAAGTTGTCGACAAGTATGTCATCTAAAAGATACCAAAAGAATACATTGTCACGGGAATCCAAGGGTTGTTAATGAATTCAACGTAATCATAATTTTTTCTCTTGTGTTGTATGTGAAGCAACATACAAAACTATCGAAGAGGGTTTAACACCAAGGTTGTGAAAGAAAATGGCATTTTTATCATCAAATTCAAAAAAATTTAAGACTTACTCGTTAGCTAATCTTCTTAAAGCTTCTTTTTATATGTTGCACTGTTGATCAAAGTACAAAGAAAACAATTACACTAATTTATCATCTTGGTTTTACATGGCCATCGGTTTACAATAAAAGGCACCAATTCATACAAGTCCCGACCTCACTCTTCTTCCTACAAGAGACAACATTCATGCAAATGCCAAATTTTACGAAGAGGAAGAAGGTAAAATATTGAAGCGTTAGTTTTGACGAAGAAAAATATTATTTATTTATTTTGGGTTTTACAGACAGTTTGAAGAACAAAAATATTATTTATTTATTTTGGATTTTACAGATAGCTTGATAACATCTCGACGTCCTCGAAGTGGCATGAAAGCTAGCGATTCTTTACTAGAGGAGAAGCCTAAAACATCTATTAATGGTACTTGTTGCTTTCTTTTAAATGAGATATTTCACCCTTTAATTTGATATATATATATATATATATATAATAACTATTTTTTTCATAGATGACCCATCTGTGCCGCCCTTAACATTTATTTCGAGTGAGAAAACTTTTGAGACAATCTTGCCACTGAGTCCTATGTCATCCAAAGCTTCAAGAATCCTCAACCAAATTCCTTCATCTATTGTCTCCAAACCTTCTGAAGGTGGTGAGTTTCTTTATTGTTTTCTTATAGTGACATTTCATTCAGATTTTATTCATATGTAGTGAGGGATTGTGGGAATTGCCTGGACTGCCTTATAGAGCATAAGCAAATGTTGCTACAAGGAGTGTCACCAACCTTGCAGAAGACTATAATCTATGCCTTAGTGATTCTACACATTGTACATCTTTATTTGCTTTTCCAATTATATTTTGGATTGGTTTCATTCTAACATCATATTGCTTCATTGATTACGGAAGAAATATTCAAAATGACACTGAAATCACTAACTAACTAGCAAACTCCTAATGTTGTAGATGACGTTCAAGTTTCAGACAAATCCCTTGGCTATGCCATTATCTCAAGTGGAAGTGGTAATCTAAGAATTGATCCAGGTAACCTAACACAGAAAAGGAACAAAGAGTATTATTTAAATATATTTACAAGCATATGAAAAGTACATCAAATGGGTTTTAATATAAAAATTGGAAAACTCTTCCATAGTATACAATTGTTCCAAATTCTCTGTTTTACGGTATGCATTTAGAGAAGTCAGTCATTAATTCAAAATGAAAATTATTATATACTTGCAGAAACTACGGCCACTCAGCTTTCTGATGACTCTAAAAATCAAGATTATGAAGCTTCGGAAGAGACAAAGCAGAATACTTCTTTCCATTCAAATGGAAGACAAGCCTTGAAAACACAACAATCCACAATTGGTCCCTCAAACGTCACAAGAGTATATCTCATTTCGCTGCCTTGCGCTCGCGCACACTATTTTAGTTAATGGCATTTGATTATTATTTACTTTCACTTGTCACTAGTGCAATACATTCATTTTGTTTCTCTGTTTGAAAGTTATCTTGAAGCAAACCATGATTTCTTTTACCATAAGTGTTGGCATGAAAATTTGAATTTGATCTCATATTTGAAAACTGCATAAAACTGCAAACATATATACAGAGAGACATGCACATTTTCATTCATAACTAAACCTTTTTATCATGCGGTGTTCGTAGTAAAGGAAGATGCAGAGGAAATTATCAAGAAGTATTATTTTTGGGAAGCCAAAGTTAATCACTGTCTTACCTTATCTCTTTATTTATTTGTTTATTTTATATCTATTTGGGGTTGTTGATCAAGAAAATTACTGCAAAGTTCCTTAGATTGGAATTTTCCATGATTTTCCTTTTATTATATATTTATTGAGGTATTGATCAGTATACCAAAACAAAACTGGTATGGAACAACATTTATTTCTGTAAATAAAAATACTACAAAATAAAAACTGATTCATTATGCTTTGCAGAACGACGAGGAAGGGAATACAGGTGCTCTAAACAGAACTGATTCACAAAAGGCATATTTAAAAGTGAGATTATTATCCTTTATTTGTAGATTATTAGTCTTCATTCATCCTAGATGGTTCAAACTTGTGGCTTTTATTTATCTTCTAATAGGATGATTTGGTGGACAAAGTAGCGAGAAATGAAAGAATCACGATTGATCCACACCAGTCCGCAATGAGCACACAGAATTTTGCGAAGGTACATTGGATGATAAATTTTTTTCACAAAATAAATATTCAATCACATATTGTCCTTTTCAATAATACAGATACATAAAGTTATGTTGCTCCTCTGGTCCTATTTATAGGACGCAGAGAGAAGACATTTTTTATCTTATTTATAGGATACTGAGAGAAATTTTTTGTATAGATATATAATTTTATCTTTTATTTGTTATTGTGTTGACTTTGTTTATATGAGGCATAATGTATATTAAATAGGAATAAAATTGAAAAATTATTGAATTTTAAATAAGAGTTGATGAAATTTAAGGCTTTTCTTGGTCTGTATAAAACATATTAAAAGTGACCTATAAATAGGATCAAAGGAGTATATATGAAGTTAGGCCTTGTTCACATTTATTTTCATGTAGGATGTGTTGGCGGGCAAAGAGGCGAAACAAGAAACAATAATGATGGAATCACAATCACAGCAAGAAATGATCGGATATAATATACAATCTCATGATGAGGAAAAGGTAGAGGGAAGAGAAGGTAAAATACTACTCTCCCTAATCCTAAATGTAGGAGTTTAATAACTAATTCATATATACTAAGAAAATTAACTAAGTTAGTTATTTGTAAATAAATAGGTTTTTCTTTTTCTAAAGTATCCCTC